CAGTGCTGTAAACTATATTTTGCTGTGCATCACCAAGTAGGGCTACCGGAACAAGCTGCGCTCTTGAGCCACTCATGAACAATTCAAAAACAGTACTAATTTAATAGCCTTTTTGGTCATTTTACGTCTTCCTAAAGCTACTAACTCTGCTAATTAGTTGCCTTATTGGCTGAAGTGAAATGATGCATTGCACAGCTCAGAACTTGCTCACAGAAACGCCTACATTTACATGCAATCATGTCTAGAAACAAAAAAATGCTGTTATTTTTCTGTGTCGAGCGTTAAAATATGAACAAATACACTTTTTTCGAGGCTGCAAACATAAATGCTCTGTAAACTAGCTTATGTCGCCTTATGTCGAACTCTCTACACAGTAATAACAGCAATCAACACATCCACGTAACATCGTAGTTCACATTCTGGTGCACTTATTGGACATTTAATAGTGCTCGGTGATTTCATTTTCATCTACAAGCGTAAAGGATTGTCCTCATCTTCAGCTGAAAGTGATAAAGAAAGTGGATCTGATCCCTCACTGGGTTAAATACTGCTTATAGCAGCTCTTCCTGCTACTGAACACTAGAAAACATGAAAAATGTAAGTAAAATCCATTACGTGCTTGGATATGTTTGCCATTACAGCTTCAACACAAACATAATTTTATTATCATTGCCATTGTTTTGTCTGTCACGTTTATATTTCATGCTGCTTTCATGCTGACTGAATATTGAGTTATCCATTCGGATATATAGTCGCCCCTTAGGCTGACAAACATTCAGATTTAGTCTACAGGCTTGCCTTAGTGGCTGCTGACACTATTATCTATAAACAGGGACAATGGTAAGTCCCACAGTTAAACACAGCAGTACTTGGTCCACTTTGGTCTGCCCTTTCAGCTGTGTAGCGCTAGCCACTCCAGATGAGCTACACTGCTACATTAGAGCTGCAGATTCAAGCTGAACCACTGGGAAAGTGGGTTACCTACATTTCACCAACACACATACACACACACACACACACACACACAGCCCCCACCCCAGACTGACCTCGCTTTGTCCACACAAAACATTACAATCTGCCACTGTTGTTTACTTCCTCTCCACGACACGCAACAAACAACACAGTGCTCTGGGGATTTACAGGGTAAAGTCAGATACAATAGCGGCGATGAATAAATGGATTTGTTTTTCTTTGCATGTTTGTGTAAATGCAATACCAGGACTGAGCAATACCCAATCACTGTAATGCAGACTGGCCTTCACTAATCCATTCAGTAATGTGTTCAACATACTGCAAAACATATTACAATATCTACATGGTATTCTGCCTTAATAATAACTATAATAACCAAAATTGAAACTAGTGAGTGAAACTACATCATCTCTTCAATCAAGGTAGCTGCCCAGTGGACAGTTTTGAAACTATATTACAGAATCTCTGTTAGCAAACAAGTGGAAATCCAGAACTAGGCTAAATCCACATCTGGACAACCAGCAGTTTGACTCCCCCGGGAGCTAAAAACGATCCCCTGCTGAGCAAAGAAGACTAGGGCAGCATGGAAAATGGGATTTGTGCTTGGGCACACGGGTTAAAGCCCAGAGCAAATTCACCCAGCTCAAGGATCTGTGATTAGGAGCCCAGCTAAGAAAGAGGAGCAGTGTTAGCATGCTGTTTGGAGCGAGGTGCCTGGCAACCACTGCGTCATACAGGCTAATCAGTGACAGCTTTTCATTCATGAAGTGCACACACAGATTTGTTTTGATCCAATGCCAGGATGTGAGGTCATACATGTCATGTGTTTCATATATGTGATAATGTTCCATATGTATTCAGCACCTATATGTAAAAAATAGTATCTCCTACTAGTATCTAGCAACTATTAACGCTGCATATTGGAAGAAAACCTTGTATCTCCAAAATGAGAACTTACAGGAGAAGGAAAAAGCTTTCTTTAGTTTTAATGTTAGTCAATGGAATCAGACTTTTTTCCAAGTCATTTTGGGCCAGTTCTTTTGGTCCATTCATCATAATATTTACACATAACATAAAGAGGAATGGACATTTTCAAATTATGCCAAAAACTACTACTACTATGCCACTACCCCTTTTGTCACTGGGGTGGTACCCTAGTCAGGGAACGGAATTGTACCACATTTCATTGCAGTTATATTTTCTAAGTTGTACTGACTCCACACACCCTCGTCTCCAGGCTTTTTATTTTACTGTTCTGTTTTAAAACATTCGGTTATGAAAAGATATAAATATGTACTTTTCACCTGGAAAAACATATTTAAGGAACACAGCTGGACACTGCTGTACCACTTACATTGTTTGTACCTTGATGAAAGTAAAATGTACCTGCACAGAACCTTTATTTCTAACAGTGTATAACATAATAAAAAAATAAAAATAAATGTAAATACAGCAATAATTTCTTGTTTTCAAAAATTTTTTCCTTTAAGCCAGCCAGAAGCCCAAATTTGGATACAAATTTCTTCTTGACGCCCTCAGCCTTCGCATGGGTTTGCCATATTAGCAGTAGAACAACTGATTTAACAGTTTATTAAAGACTGAATAAAGTACTGAGTAGGAGGTTTTGACAATGGCTACGAAAACACGCATACATAAAATCAGTGCTTACTGTATTAGTGTTAGTTGTATTTATTGTGATTTTCATGTTTTTTCTGAGCAAAGAGATTCGTACTGCCCCAATAAATAGCTTTTTTATTTTATTTATTTATTTATTTTGACAGAATTTGAAATTGCCATCTGCCACTTACCGAATTTCATCATGAATGGACCAATAGAAATGGTTCAAAGTGACTTAGAACAAAGTCTTGTTACACTAGCATTGTATTCAAAGTTAGGAATTTTTTTTTCTTTCTCTTGTAAAGTTACAGTATACAAAAACAAACACACACGGCGGGGTGTGTCGAGGAGCTGAATACAGTTCCTTGAACTCTGATCTCTAGTCATGGATCCTGATCAGCTGACCGAAACATCCTGTCAAGTGTCTGCTACTGCTTTACCGCTACTCTGACAGAAAGAAGACAAAGAGAGACACACAGAGAACCAGTTTATGAGAGAATCTGTGTCACCAGAACCTGAAAAACCGGCTGGACTCATCGTCACGTTACTGTTGGAATGAGTGAATAATGGCCCTGCCTGTGTTCCACAGCACGCTACACAAACACGGACTCGGAAAACAGGCGGAGTCTTTTTATACTCTGCAGTATTTGCTCTCTCTCGCTCTGTGAATCCCCCCTGCTCTTCCTCCCACACCTTCAAATTATGTGTGGAACAAACAGCAACCAATAACAAGCTAAAAATACCACATGTAAAGGAAAAGTGTGTCTCTGAGTGTGAGAGGAAAACAGACCAAAACCAGAGGAAGAAGCACACTCTGAGAGAGAGAGAGAGAGAGAGAGAGAGAGAGAGAGAGAGAGAGAGAGAGAGAGAGAGCGCCATGGACCAATCTATTTTAGAAGTGACCTGGGTGTCTATATGTCCAGTTTGTTTAAAAAAAACGGATCATGGATGGTTCCGCGCTACAGCTAAGTACACAATTACACCGCAATCATATTTATATTGTTACCAGTTTGACCATGTTTTGACAAAAAGCGGCGAGTTTAACCACAGTCAAAGCACCTGCACCGCAGATATTTTTGAAAATGTGTTTCTGGGCTGATTCACACATACTACCTCTGCGTAGTGTGAGGTAGTATGCAAAAAAGCTTTAGAAGTGCACTCATTAGTGTAGTAGGTACAGAAGTGTGTGGTTTGGGATGAAGCGTTAGATCAGCTAGTGAGACGCGTTAACAGCTCCAATGGCTGACTATAGCTGCGCTGTGCTGCACCTTAGCTGCTCAGTAACCATCTCCAAGTGAAAGTTGAAGGTATTTGTTGATTAAAGATCATTTATTGAGGTACATTAATGCATTTATCGAGGTAAGCAGATTCGCCGGCTTTCAAAATGTGTTCTACGTTTAAGGCACCTCAGCGTAACTGCAGCACCATTTAAAGTGGAATGGAAAATTCAAATGAGAAGCTGGCGAATAAGAAGCTGCCTTAAGCTCGACATATTCGTATGTGTTTATTATTTACGAGCTTTGGCAGCCACTTTTATTAGTTTTTATAGAACATCAAGTACTGGAATGTTCTGGACTCTAGAGATATGAAACTTACACAGATCCAGTCCACCTAATTTTCTAATCTTCTCCTCATAGCATTTTCTGGAGACGCATCTAAAGCGTCCACATGTCTTTTCATCTTTTTTGCCGTCATTCTGGTTTATCCTCCTTGTTTTTAACCCACCTGCAAGGTTGTAGCTGCAGTAATGGCGATGAGATCAGCTCTATCAGAGCACAGTCAGAGCTACATCTCGACTACCAACATGGCGACGTGGTCTTCTTAATGACGTAATCGAATACTTTGAATAGCTCACACACACTGGCCATTTATACATAAGGCGAACCTGTTAACATCCCACGTTGCTCACGACACACAGAGGTGGTATTGGTGAATCAGCCCTCACTGCTGCAGGTTGTGGATGGTCGTTAATATTGATCATGAACATGAAATCAATGGTAATTTCACTGTTTTCTTGTGTGTTTACTTGAAAACGTATTTATATTAAATAACAAACCTATTTCTTCAAAGAATTCAGTGCAACTTTTTCAAAGACACCAGTTAGTTTAGTACATTTTTGTATTTTTCTGAAGATTCATTCAAACGCCCCTTTCTTCAGTCATAGTTTTGGTTAGTGGCTTTGGTCTCCACAGCTACGGCTAAAAGAAAACATGTTTCCGGTCTTCATAGCCTTCCTTCCAGGCACTGATGCTTAAAGACCCTATTATCACATCTACAACAGTGGTGTAAATAGACTGCAATGGTGTAAAATAGCTTTAATAAGGATTAAAAAAGCCAATCCAAATCCATTAAAACACGCCTCGATCGACTCTGATATCGATCTTTAAGATGGTTTGTAAGTGTTATGTCACCTAGTGTGGACTTCCGCAGTTGATAGGCCTCAAACTGCTCCTGTAGACAGCGGTAGCGCTTGGTGAGCTCGTTCTTCTGATGGTCCAGCCTCGGCTGTAGGCTGAGGTTCTGCTCGGCCAGGCTCCGGTTACCGGCCAGGATCATGTCCTTGCTCTGCTGCACCTCCTTCACCTGAACACATGCACATGGTATTACATTTCAATGTGGGCAGAACAAAAGCTGAAGATCAGCAAAGTGGCATTTGGATCCTGTCCACCAGCACATTGTGGATTTGGCAGTCAAACTCTGAATAAGCCAGAGCAGAATATCAGCAGCGCGGTCACCTTAAGCAAATACGGTGTGTTTAAATTTGCGTAGGGACAAGAAAGAGTCATGCACTGTGACAGCCTTTAAAATCAGATGCTGTGAGGAAACCAAACTTAAGCAATAAGACTGGAGGAATAATTATAGCCTACGTTGTCAACAGCATTATCTTATGTTTTAAGAATGGAAATTTCACGTAATAATATAGAGCTTGCAACTTGCCTGTAGATGAATTAGACCAATCAAACGTCCATTTTTTGTGCCATCACAACCACACTTTACTGGCAATCTGGCACAATATATTCAGGGTTCAAGCCTCAAGCCAGAAAATGTGGATATTCTAAACTTCTTGGCCAAAAAAAGCCTGAACCTTAATTTAGAGAAAGTAGTCACTATTTAAATCACAGTTGCAATATCAGTCAGAACAATCGCAATGAGACATTTTCCCCAAATCGTTCAGCCCTGGGTGGAATCTAGTGGTCAGGCATACGCAACAGAGAAAAGACACTTCCCCCTTACAGTTAACTTACAGCATATTCTCACAGTACTATTTTCCAGGAATCTGTCAAGAAAATGGTCTAGTGGTATTTGAGAAGGAGGGAAAATCTCTTATGTAATGGGTTCAGACAATACGCTAAGCCCCCTTAATGCTTCTAATACATCCGGGAAATTAAAATATTTCAACACCTTCAAGCATCTTATCAGGCTGCAGTGAAAGAGCGCTGGCCGCTGGCCATGACTGTGGCCCTTCCTGGAGACCTCAATCACTAACTGGAACAAATAAAGACTAAACAAATTCATGCAAACAAAAGCAAAGCATGCTAAGAAGAAAACTGAAGAGACACAAACAGAAAAATATGGAAATAAGTACTGTTGGGTTAAAAATCTACAGAATTTCCTGACTTATTCCAACAGCAAAGGCATGTTTGGTGTTTTATTTTTAGTTGTGCACTGGAGCTACGAGGCTGGAAGTGATGGAAGCTTGTGACCATCATTCAGCACTGTGCTAACTGCATCCCTAAATCATCACACACTCGCTAAGTCATCACATCAACTTGCTTATCTTGTTCTGGCACTGTATGACACACTGTGAGCTACCAAAATGGACAAAACCACTACGTTGGTCCATTTTCATAGCTAACATAAGCTTCCGTTGGTGGTTTGCAAGATTAGCCTCATAAATCCAGTGCAAAACTGAGGAAAGAAAATTCAGATACCAAACATTTCATGGCTGAAAATTCTGAAAAAATTGTGTAAATGACATTTGTGTTGAACTGACCTATTAAGGGTTTCAGTTAAATCTGAGGCTGTAGGTTCTGGACACATATATACTTTAAGCTTCTGTTGTCTTATTCAACGTCTCAAAAAGACCTCGCGAAAAACTCCCAGCCTTTCCAGTTACAGTGATAGCTGCCTGCAGACTTAGACAGCCTTCTGAAATCATGGCCAAGCAGCACCTTCCATCCTGGAGTGTTCACCTCCAACTCCAATCTAACTGCCTCAAACTCCAGATGTTCCTGAAGAACTGAAATAAGCTGGAAGAGGTGAGTCAGTCTAGGGCTTAACTGAACTCGGGAGGAAGGTGGATCTCCAGGATCAAGGATGGGCACCGCTTTTACAGCTCTGGAGAACCTGATTCATCTCCTCAGCAGGTTGATCATTAACTGAGGAGTTGATTCAGGTGTGGTAGAACATGGAAAACATGAAACTGTGCCAGACTGAAGTTGCGCACTCCTAAGCTACGTCATCAACATCTACGCAATGTGAAAGAACCCATGTCGCCTGGAACCAAGTGATAAACCAAGGACTACTCAAAAGCCCCTGTTGGGTGACTAATGTTAATGTAGCTAATGTAGCTGACATGGAATGGAAGCTTATTCCTCAATTCAGAGACAGCATTACAGAAAGAACCTCTGAAATCTTCTGTTTAGTCACTGAGTGAGTTTACATGCACTCAGTAATCCGATCATAATTGGATTTCTGCAGTTATATGATTATTGAAACGGTCACGTAAACAGCATACTCCGATTTCTTAGATCTCTTAGAAATCCGATTAAGAAATCTGATGAAGAGAGCTGGCTTTTAGCTCAGTTATCAGATTTTTCAGTACATGGAGACTCTTACTCTGATTTCTTTCGGATTTCTCAGTCTGCGCATGGGCAAAAACAGACGGCGGTACCGGAAATAAGCAAGCAGTCAGAATTTGGAGCAACACTGAAACCAACTACATTCTCGATGAAATGAAGGATTTAAATATTCTTCATCTTCAAGATGCTGTATGTCATATTTTCAGGTAAAGTGGCATGAAGTTTTAAAAAAAGCTGCAGCATGAAGTTTGAGTTTTACATTACATTTACGTCACGTCTTCTTCTGTGAGCTTATTGGCCAGCAAAGCAGAAATCTGATTATTGCCTGACTCATGTAGACCCAGAGTTTCCCATTATCTGATTACTCAATTGCATGTAAACGCACTGATTGGATTACTGACAAAATCTGATTTTCTATACTGGCCTAACTTGACAACCCTAGCAGTGACTTAACCTTTGTTTTAAGCTTCCGTTTCTACCACTTATGCTGTTAGTTATATTGTTTTACTGTGACAGGCAGTAAAACAAGTTCACTATAACTAACACAGGGGCATTTCATTTATTCCTTTTGCAAAATGGCAGACAGTAATGCTCTGCAAGGCTGGAATTAAAAATGTCACGTTAATGTCACTTGCATGGATAAAGCCTTGGTAAGTGGAAACTGATGACAGTAACTTTTGGGGGGTTTTTTTGGGTTTTTTTTTACTGCCAGTTCATCGCACTTAGCGTTCTAGCTAACCTCCATTTACGTTCTTTCAATTACACGTTTACATTCCAGTTGCTTGGTAACAGATTCAAAACAACTCATTGGCAACCACAACTGAGTAGTATAGCATTTCCTAATTTGAGATAAGATGCTGTGAGATAAGACATCATTTCTAAATTAAGACATGATTTGCTTCTGTAAAATGAAATTGGCAAAAAATCCTCTCAACCTTGACTTAGCTCTTAACTTAGGACTAAAGACCGGAAGATTCCGTAATATGGCTGCAGGTTTCAAGATGGCTGATGCTACTATTTTTAGTCATGTGGTGTACTTCTTTATGTCTATAGGTAACAGTACGTCATGCAGTGTCAGCATGAGCAACTTGGTACTACTTAACAACTCAATGTGGGTTTAGGGAAGCGCGTGTTTTAATGTTTTAAGCATGCAGTTTGTACAGCTTATTTTACTACTGATTTAAAGTAACGCTTTCGGGTGATCAGTAAGAAACACAGTAAGGTGTTTGAAATGCTGAAAAACTAAAGATTTCCACTTCAGCTGAGCCTCTTCTCTCTACATTACGGCCTTTCAGTCAGTCTATGTAGGATACAGTTCACTGGCATCAGCTCTGCTACAGAACACAACAGTGGTCCAGTATGTTAAGAGGCTTAAAGTAAGTGGTGCATAAAGTAGCTGACTTGGTTCAGAAATTTTGGCTGTACCACCCTGAGACTCTCCCTGAACCGGCCGGCGATAAAACTTTCCATTCCCTTATCCTGCTTTATCAGCCCGCTAATAAAAGGTCACAGGGAGAAATCAAGCCATCAAACTTCAGTGTAAATCACTTCTAACTTCTAGATCTCAGACTCTTACTGTCTCTACAGATCTACAGATCAGTGTATTCATGTAAACAACACGCCAGCACAATTCCTCATTGGATGGGAATCATAATTAATTGGTTTAGAGATCATGATTCCCACTTATGATTCTTCAACACACTAATTTTGTACCAAATAATACCTTCTAAGCTCATACAGTGCCAAAAATGCATTATGTATACATCCAACACCTAGACAGCAGCTCACAGATCAGTATAAACAGATGTTACAACATATAAACAAAAATATTCAATTGCAGTATGAAGCTGAAGTATAATCTGAATATATAAACATAAACAATAACTGCAAAACTCGAATCGAACTGCATTGAGTAACGAAACAACAAACAGAACTTGAATAAGATTTTTGGTCTAGTACATAATCTTAATATAAAAAATTTTATTTCTGAGATTTCCTAATTCTTGGGAGTTACTTTAAGGATGGGACGTTATGAAAATTTCCTCACGATATAAGTGACCCAAGTTATCATCAGGTATCACAACTGAAAATATTCTAGAAGCACTGATACACATTGAAACCATTTTACCACAAGGATGCTATCAGTAGAGGTGTAACGGCTCACCAATTTCATGGTTCGGTTCCGTTCAGTTTTCAGTTTCTGAGCCGCGGCTCATGAAAAAAGTAACTTTGAACCGCAGAATCTTTTCATTACACATATCGTCGCTGCTCAAAGAAAAACAGGCATCTCCAAAACGGTAACTTCACAGCAGAGGGTAAAAACTGTCTTTACTTTCAATGTAAGTTAATGCAAATAGATTTTATTCAAAGCAATTCCGGAGCATTTCTATTGGTCCATTTGTCATGAAATTTTCACACAGTGTCTGTTTACATGTAAAGATTTTTGTCAATCCGATTGAACACATTCCGATTATAGATCACGATGCGCATGAGTCGAGTACCACTTGATGTAGACGTTACCATGACAACCAGCATCACCTGAGTCCAGTCAGAGTGAGATGAGCTGCAGTGAGCAGTGATTGTGTTTTTAATTACTTTAAAATGATGTCAGACTCAGGAAAACGTCCTTCACATGTCCTTATTAAAGAAGGCCGAGAGGAAGACGTCATGTTCTGAGGCACATAAGCTGGACGTCCGTCCCACCGCCGTCTTTTAAAGATCAGAGCATAAACTTCGTCTCCTCTGCAGACCAGTTTCTGCTCCGCCACGTTGAACGTTATA